CGCAGAATCATTTTGTTTGTTTTGATTTTATTAAGTTTCATATAAGGAAAAATACGACTGTGCGAATTTGGAGTAACGTGCATACACGGTAAAAAGTTATCACATCTAATCCAAATGATCTTGCACTTGTCTCAGTCTGTTATGCGGCTCTACACACAAAAAACAACAATTGTATCAATAAAAACCATGCATTTTCAAAATAAAAGTTTCTCAGCTTTGATAATTTTAAGCACGAAAATTCTCAAAATAAAAGTATTTGGTTTGTTTTGAAAGTGTATTTTTCGTTTTTAACTTGCATTTTTAAAAGTGCATATTTTCAAAATGAAAACTGTTTAACTGTCAAAAACACCTTGTCATAGCAACGTTTTTGGCAGCACTAGACATAGATTTGCCGCTAATTTTAACCTTGACGTCAAAATTTGCAATTCATGTTCTTTGTGTGGAACAAAACTCGAAGCAGAAATTAAATTCGTTAGATATTTAAGGCAATATTCTTTCTTGCCGGATTGCCGGTTTTGCCGGATATGTAGTTCGTGCGCGGTGGCATCAACAGTTAAAATTGTAAGTATTTAACTATCAATATTATTGCGTGAAGTCAACTTGATTTTATTTCCAGACGATGAAATCTACCGTTGTCATCAATAGGTTTCAATCAACAATCGGCGGAAAAATCCATCCGGGTTCTGGATTCCATCCAACTTTTGTGATATCGCAGTACAATGGAAACGATTTTATACTCGCTGAGAGCATATGGATAATGTCTACCGAAACCGGGCGTAATTAATATATTTGTTATATTTTACAATACGTCTATTCTTGTGGATATTAATAAATATATGAGGTTATTTTTTAAATTCATAAAAAAAGAATTGATTGAATTAATATTTATAATAATTTGAAATAAAAACTGATATTGTAATGTTGAAAATGCTTGAATTTAAATTGAAAATATGCATGTTATATAGATTCAAAACATGTTATTTTAACTATACCAAAATTTCATGACAAAAATTTGATTCGATACAAAAATAATCCACTTTTAATTATAACACTATCGTGCTTTTCATTTGACAGAACTACAATTTGTTTTGAAAGTTTCAATTTTTAAAAGTAGCATGCGCGCAACTTTTGAATCGACAGTTAGCTGACTTTTGTTTTGAAAGCTAAAGACTTTCTACCAAAAAGAACCAACGAAAACTTTTAATTCTTCCAATGGTTTTTTTCAGTTTTACTAACGATAATTTTTTGTGTGCACTAACGTAGCATTAACCAGATTTAAATAAAATCGAAGACAACAAATCAAAAAGACTGGCAATTCTTCCATTTTCTCATACGAACGCTATGAGACAGGTACAATAACGTCATCTGCCGCTCAAAGGTAAATGTTTCGAACGAATTTGATAGCAAAGATTACATCCTCAGACGAAGTGTTTGTGTATTTGCTCATTTTCTATGCGTTGCTTCCACCTTCACTCAAGTGCAGCGCTACTGTATCTGTCGCTTGAATTTTGGCAAAGTTGCCAGTCTTCTTGATTTGTTGTCTTCGAAAAAAGGCTCCATTTGCAAATTAAAGCATTTTAAGATTGCACTCGTATACCTCACCGTGTAAAATTTTGAAACCATCATCACACTAATAGTTCTTCTATTCTCCACGAGTGCAAACTATGATTTGCCAATACGTATACGTATATATACGAAGAAAAGTGGACTTTGTTTACAATATCAAAACACCCGCATAAACGCGAACCATAACTTGATCTTTCCGAAAATGCTAAGAGAAGAGGTGACAATACGGGGACTCCTGATTGGCCGATTTCATGTGCGTAAGATAGAGATAGAGATAGATAAAGATAGAGATAGAGATAGAAATAAAAGAGGAAGAAGCCAATTGTCACCTCTTCCTCTTAACGAAAATGGTTAAACATTGTTTATAATCCCTGCTAAATTTTAACTGAAATAGTTATGGAACTTTACACACAACTTTACATGAACGTTTGTGTGATAACGTATTGGTCAACTTTACGTGGAATATATCGCGAATTGGTAATCTTTAATTTACAGGCAACCAATTCGCAATATATTCCACATCAAGAGCAAATTTTAATTATGTCGAGAGTACCCAAGTAACCATAGGTCAAGGGACAAGACAGCTCCTAATCATGAGTAATTTCAGAGTTGCTTTTGAGGCACCTCGAGTAACTCACATTGCTCAGTGAGCAAGACCACTATCATTAGCTTTCTCAGTTTTTGTCGAGGTTTTCGCATCACAGCATCATTTTGATATGCGAAGCGGAAAAGCTGCTGTCAACTAAAACATAAACAAAAGGAAACACCCAGCTTGAAGTGGTATAGAAACACTCGATCCATAATTCTCCCAAATATCCTGATTAATACCAACAATCAATACGAAACTAACGATTTTAAATTGGCTCACCACTTTAGTAGCCTATTGGTCCCAAGCAAACGATTAACGTACCCTATTCTAGTTGAAATTCTATTACTACACTATGTTTGTTTTGATTCGCTATGAAAGTTTGACAGATAACATCAGGGGTGTGTGGATTCATGCAGAACATGCAGGGGTGAGTGAAATAGCTTGGGACTGCTTGGGACCGTTGTTCTGGTACTGAGTGAGCCAAAAATAATAATGATTTTATTCGGGACCCAGTGGTCTTAGAGTTACCTCTATGTTAATACTAATTTACATTCACTGAAAAACAAGAGTGTGTTCTGTTCGCTCTGGTTCATCATACATAAGAGATACAGATTTGAGTAATTCACAAAAGTTGTTGCTAATATTAAAACCTACAAAAGTTTTATACATAATTTCACGGAATTCTGTTGATGAAAAAAGTTAGAGGCAAATGAAAGTAAATGAATGTACGAAATGAATGTAAATGATTTGCCATGCCTTCTCCCGATGGAAATTTGTAAGATGTGCAATAAAATATACATTATTTAGAGTTTTGAAAATTGTCAATATGATGTAAACAAACGGATTAGATGAAATTTCCTCTCAAAATCTCCTAGCGCAGTCTTAATTGATGGTCACCCACATTAGATGCGGATCAGATGCGTTGCGGTAATGTGACAGCTAAATATTGTCTAACTGTCAAAAGTATGTCAACGCAACGCAAACGAATCTAATGTGGGTGGCCCTTAAAAGAACCTATAGCTGGCGGTCCTTTTTATGTCTTACTCTGAGCCGGTGCTCCAGACTGCGGTCGTAATTTCGGTTCGCTTTTATTCTCGAGGTTGCATATTCAAAAGCTGCATCAAAAATGGAACCGAAATCCAGAATTTCATCAATATTGGTACACTGGAATTATTTTAAATAAGGGGTCGTCCATTAATTATGTCACATATTTAGGGGGGAGGGTTTTGAAAACTGTGACGAGCCGTACAAAAAATAATTAAGGTTCATACAAAAAATGTGACAAAGGGCGGAGGGGGGTTGAAAATGGGCCAAATTTGCGTGACATAATTGTGCGATTACATTAGTAAAAATCACCATCTTAGCGCCGGGAGCTGTTTATTTGTTAGTTTAGTGTCAAACAGTGAAATTAATATTTTGCTTTATATTCTAGTGTAAATCTTAATTTAAAAATCGAGATGAAAGTTTAAGGTTCGAAAAAAAAATATCGTAAAAAAAATAAGATGGGTGGCGAGAATGTTTTGAGCCAAATTAACTGCCAAAATTTGAGCCAATCGAACATTCCCATTAGATTTTGATCGATTATTTATCATTCTTATTAGATTAAATTTAAGAGTATTTTGCAATCGAACATAAATTCAATCACCTTTATGTTTCGTGTGCTTCTCAAATTCAACTAGTTTTGGAATCACAAACAATATTCTAACTCTATTGATTAATTGATCATGTGTGAAGAGTCATGTGAAATGCTGAATTGTATTTTGTTTTCTCCGCCTATCTCCCCGCATAAACGCGAACCATAAATTGACCTTACCTAAAATGGTTAAAAATTGTTAATAATTCCTGCTAAACTTTAACTGAAATGGTTATGGAACATTACATGAACGTTTAATGATAAAGTTTCAACCTTATGTATTATGGTTTTTTGGAACTGGACCTTACAAATAATGGGTTGTTAAGAACCATTACCTTTCAAATTCTTGTTTTCTCCATACATTTTCGGAAAGAGAACTATATTAGAACCTTTTAACTTATGGTTTTAGAACTTTAATGGTAATGGTTATGGTAGTCAGTAAGGTCCACGAATGGTTTTGTAACATCGATCAACTTTATGTGGAATATATCGCGAATTGGTTGCCTGTAATTTACTGATTACCAATTCACGATATATTCCACGTAATACCTTGTACAGACATACAAAGTTCACTGTTGTACTACCGTTGTACTGCTTTAAGCTAGTACCACAAATTGTACGTTTTGAGGTACTTGATTAAAGGAGTACAACGGTACTAATTTGTATGTCTGTCTGTGGTATAAAGTTGAGCGATAATACAAAACCATTAATGGACCTTACTGACTACCATAACCATTACAATTAATGTTCTCAAATCATAAGTAAAAACGTTCTTATATAGTTCTCTTTCTGAAAATGTATGGAGAAAACAAGAATTTTGAATGGTAATGGTTCTTAACAACCCATTATTTGTAAGGTCCAGTCTCGGGTCCAGTTCCAAAAAACCATAATACATAAGGTTGAAACTTTATCATTAAACGTTTATGTAAAGTTCCATAACCATTTCAGTTAAAGTTTAGCAGGGATTATAAACAATTTTTAACCATTTTAGGTAAGGTCAATTTATGGTTCGCGTTTATGCGGGATCTCCCTCTGAGTATTTCTAAAAAAAAACCATTTTTTTTTCAAAATTAATGAATCGAATTACGCCCTCATCGCGATTCACTCCGGAAAAATATATTAACTCCCAAGCATCCGCTTTCCCCTTGGTCAATATTTGACAGCAGGCTTGCAACTTGTAAATAAACTCGTATCGTCTTCGTCTTCGTTCTGCTATCGTCACAAAAAGTGAATCAATTTTTTTTATCAATCACGTCTCGTGTTAATTTTTACTGTTTTGGTGCGCATCACTTATCCACTACCCTACATTTATCACGTACTACCTGTGCAAATACCAGTAATTCTGTGTTTATCGTTCCTCTGCTCCACAAATGGGTGCAATTAGGCATGTTGTGAAGTTGTAATTCGTGCGCTGCTGGTTGGTGTTAGCTGCTTCTGGGCAGGAGTGTTGGAAAGAGTGTCGCAGAGCAATCCTTATCGTCATCATCCCAGACGATAGGGCAAAAGCAAACAAAGCTTCCACATCAGTACAGCGCTACCTGTTATCTTCTGATCGAGCGGAGATCGTCAGTCAATCGGTAATCCTGGGTGCGCTAGCAAGTCTCATGATGGACAGTGCCACCGAGGGAGAGGAAATTCTGTTCCTAAAGCACGCCAAGTATTTTGTGCGATTTCTGAACATTCTTCCGGCACGATTGGCCTCGCACGATTCGACCAGGTGAGTGGAATGGACGGTGTGGTTGGATTCATCTATTTACTGGAACGTTCTTTGGCAGAGTAACGATTGCTTTCTTCGCCGTGAGCGGACTGGACGTGCTGGACTCGTTGCATCTGCTGTCGGACTCGTTCAAAACAGACATCATCAATTGGATCTATAACCTACAGGTCGTGCCGAAGCCGGGCGGAAGGCCGTGCGGTGGAATTCAGGTGAGTTAACTTGTCCAAGATTGTGTTCAAATATGGTATAGCATATTTTCTCTACAGGGATCGAGCACGTTGAACATTGTGGACGCGCCAGAATGCTGCGGTTTGGATGCGTACCGGTGGGGTCATTTGGCCATAACGTACACCGGTATAGCCGTGCTGGTGGCTCTGGGAGACGACCTCTCGCGACTGGACCGGAGAGCAATAGTCGACGGTGTGGCGGCAGTTCAACGGGAGGATGGTAGTTTCAGTGCCACGATCGACGGAAGTGAGCACGACATGCGGTTCGTGTACTGCGCGGCAGCCATCTGTGCCATGCTGAACGATTGGGGCAAGGTAAACAAAAGGAAAATGGCAGAGTACATCCAGAAGAGTATTGTGAGTATTGATTGACTGTGGTGAGGGAGCAGAAAAGTTGAAAATTCGAGTGGATCTGTCTGCCTTTCTAGCGGTACGACTATGGCATCAGTCAGCACTACGAGATGGAATCGCACGGTGGAACCACTTTCTGTGCAATAGCCGCGTTGGAGCTGAGCGGCCAGCTGGATATTATCACACCGGACGTAAAGGAGAAAATAATCCGATGGTTGATGTTCAGGCAGCAGGACGGTTTCCAGGGTCGCCCGAACAAGCCAGTGGACACGTGCTATTCCTTCTGGATTGGAGCGACTCTCAAGATCCTCAACGCCTTTGAACTGAGCAATTACAAGGACAACCGCGACTACGTCCTATCGACGCAGGACAAAGCCGTCGGTGGGTTCTCCAAGTGGCCCGGTTCGCATACGGATCCATTTCATACGTACTTTGGCATTTGTGGGCTGAGCTTCCTCCAGGAGCCAGGACTGCTCGAGGTGGTACCAAGTTTGAACATATCGCAGCGCGCCTTTCAAAGACTGAAACAATTGCACTCGGTTTGGGAGTTGGAAGCGAATATTAGAAGCAAATGCGACGTGAGAGTTAACATTGAATAAGCAAAGTCTAATAGGGAAAGGACAAGCAGTTTGCTATCGCGCACACCCACGTAGGGAACATGCCGCCGGAAATTAGATGTTCTGTGTTACCAGATAGTGATTTTCTCTTTAGTTCCGTATTTATTTAGCAAACAAACTTATTGGCTAGGCGCTATTACATAACAAACTGGAGAATGCCCGCACCTGCGCCGTGAAACATTTGGAAAAGTAAGGATCAAACTAGCATAAACTAATAAAGTAAGACGATCGTGTAAAGTGTATGTTAAGCAACTACTGTGGAATGCAGAAATATATTGATTTTAGTATAAGCAACAGCAGCTGAGCTTTGATTGTGTTGATGGAAGAACTCATTTTGCTGGAGGAGGTACCGTGAAGTGCCATTATTTTGCGAAGCGCCTAATATTATGCGGTTTTTTGCCGAGCTTTTGCATTATATTGGAAATTTATTTTTAATTGTACATATCTACATTTTCAACACGAAGGAGTAGGCTGTGCCTGTGATCGAATATGACATTTGTTTGTTTTTTTTTTGTCGTGGAGTTTTTTTAATCTATAATCGGTTGCTGATCTGGCCAAAACCAGGCACAAGAGACAATTTCTAGTTTTTCATTCTAGGTCCCTATTATTTGCCGCTGAGAAGCTGTTCCGTAGCCAAGTAGAACCTCCACGAGGCGTCCAATTATTCGTCCTATCATTAGTTCCATCATTCGTTGAGTCGCAGCGTTGAACCTGACTATTGGCCACGAAAAGGCTTGTCAAAGCACATCAAAAATCGACTACATACATCCGAACATTTGTTTATCTCAAATCGACGGAAGACATTCCGCGCAACTACCATAAACCGAATTAATTCATGTTTAACTTCGTCAAGCTTCGTCTACAATTTGGACTTCTACATCAACACATGTCAAGCAGCCTTCAGGTTCAATTGGCTAAACTTATAGCGAATTCGTTTATTATCGGGGTTAACACCAGTTCCAACCCAGTGCGAAACCGAACTTTTTGTCAGTGTGAACCTCAACCTGAGCTAGGTTTTAAAACCAAACGAGCAAACTGACGTTTGTCAGAAAACAAGCAGACCCAATCGTGATACCCGATCCAGGTTGGAACTGAATTGTATATTTCAAATCAAAAATATTGTTTATGTTCACAGATTTCACATAATCCTTTTCCCTTTGTCCTTCTCCTTTTCTTTTCCCTCTTCTCTTTTCAGAAATCGAGTAATGGCGCTATAGCCATAAGTCATAAAGGGCTAGGACAAAAGTTAGTGCTCATGCCCCAACCGTCAGAAGAAAACGGAGCATCACTTAACCTTTCTAGCTTTGATGCTTCCAACGACCAACCAATCATATAATTACTAAAATCGGAACGTACGGTACGAGATGTCCACGTTTCATTCATTTATTGGATTCTGAAGCATCGTGTTTAAATCTTCGATTTAAACAGGCCCGATGTTTTCTGAATCATCTTGCCCCTTAAATGTTGCACAGTAGGCTGGCCGTTTTGATATGTGTGACGCATCTTCGATGTGAAACATATATCAAATAGACAAGAAAAATGATGGAGGTATATCCACCATTTCCAAGAAGGCTTTCCAGAATTGGCTGTGTTGGTGTTAGATTCACGCAGAAAAAAACACTGAGGCGTAAATTAACAAAATATTTTGTTATTATTTAATACGAAATCTCTATTTGTTCACTAAAAAGATTCAAATGAATGCAGAAGTTCATTTAAATCAAATAAATAAAATTGTTTTAACTAAATAATTTTTAAGTGCATGTTTCCAACTGTCAGCCTGTATCGACATCGCTGCTATTTATAGTTAAAAAGTTCCTCCTTATGGAAAAGCTGCCTTCAAACTTTGATCTCCAAAAGTAAATTTTAGTTTTAAAAATTATGTCGATTATATAGTTTCTCGACAAGCAATCTATTAACTTGCATTTCAAATTTCAGCGCTGACTTGCGATCGGGCAAAATAAGGCTACACTGTTGATCATCGACGAATTCGTTCTTTGGCACTGCATATGCAGTACCCCTGTGTCTCACCGAACTTCGAGGAACAAAATCTAGCCAACTTCAACCTACGTCTGGTTGCGGAGATTCAATATTGAAGAAGCATCGTCACCATCAGCAGCTCAGTGGCAGCCGAGGTAGCAGCAGAGTCGCTTCAAAATTACCACCAACAATAACAAATCGACATCCTGGTGCACATCAAGGCACTCAAGGACAACACGTTCTACAACTCATTCACGCAGCAAATGGTGCAACGCAATAGGCTAATTGATGAATAAATAAATAAATAAATAAATAAATAAACAGTGGCTCAGTAAGCAACTTGTTTGTAAGCAGAATTGAAAAATATTGGTTCATTTTTCAATAAAAATAAGCTAACCTAACCTGGCGATATACAAAAAAATGATTCTGAAACAATAAAAAATACGTTTCAAGACAACGTTAAAAAAACACGTTGATTACTTTAAATAATGCTTCAAGTTGATGCAAGCAAACATTTTTTCGAATCAATAAAAACCGATGTTCCATTCAATGAACATATGTTTTTGTTAAATTACTCCATCAATTTTATTGATCCATATTGCATTCAAAATTTTGTTAAAAATGATACGAATTTTGTTTGGTTAAACTATGTTTTTTTTCTGCGTGTTAAATTAGATTAGAAATGTATCTACGTTTTTAACACAAAATTAAGTAGTTCTGCGCAGCGAAAAAAAAAATCCTCATATGTATCAACGTAATTCATGTTGACGTGTAAATATTGGTGTAATCAGGGCTGCCAAACCCAAACAGAAAGAAAAAAACAACTTTGCCGAAGACATCAAGTCTCCAAGACGTCAGAAAAAGAAGTTTGCGGGGCCATCTTTGCGGAAGAGTATTGAACCATTTGTTTATGTCAATAGATGGTCCTTATTATGTTGAGAAACTTTGCCTGAGACACCAAGTCGCGGAAATGCTTCGTTTCGGAGTTATTAATTTTGCTCCGCTATGTTGCATTCCTGACCCAGTGTGCAATGTAAGCATTAGACATTTTAAGAAATTGCACTTGGTGTTTTTCTTGCCTGCTTTCAAATCCTCTGTCGCCATATTGTCATTATGAAAATGCCTTTAGCCTTGGAATAAAATCCAAGAAATTCCAATAAAATAATGGCTAAATTAGAGATCCGAAATGATTTCCAGTCGTGTGCATTGGTATGAATTTATTTATTAAGATCTATTTTCTGTAAAATTAAGATGATTCCATCAAATTCATTTGATTTTTGAAACAATCTTTTTTGTTAACTTAAATTATTTTGGAGGCGCATTTATTTAACGCTCATATTATACCAATATAGGTATACGATAAAATTTCAAGCGCATATGTTTTGGAACTTCTAAAAAGTCATATATTTTCTTTAAGATTTTCACTAATGTCGCCATGAAACAAAATTGATTGCACGGTGATCTTGACACCAACACTCAAACCTATTTTTACCGCTAAAGATTTCCATATTGAAAAAAAAAAATCAGCAGAACAGAACAACAACAAGCTAATTTATGGCGGTTGCTTTGAAGCAAATAAAAATTAAATTGGATTTATAACTGATTTTCTCCAAAGCGTAATAAAACTGCTCGAATACAATATTACTCTTAAAGAGGCTATGAGAACCTTTTGTAGAGTATAAGGCTTTCTTACAAAAGTTTTAAGACAGCTTTATTGTGATTCTCAAGCATGCTTTATAAACCTTATCAAGAGTGGTCCACTAAGCTGGAAGACGATCTTATAGCGGTTATCAAAAGGTTGTGCTGGAGCTATTAATTTTATTGACGGTTTTATAAAATTGATCTCAAAAACCACTAATAGAGTGCAATAAAACAAAAAAAAATGCTACTTGGGAATAATTGTTCAAAAAATAAAAACTGAAAGAAACCTGGATGCTCATGCAAATTTGATTTTCTTGCAAATATACAGGGCCTTATTGCGGGTTTCACTACACGGTGATAAGGAAGTCTAGAGTAACATTTGAAATAGGCCTATGTCCAAAACGTAAACAAACCAGAAAATGAATTTTAAATTTTGACCGTCATTATTCAATTCATATTTAAGAAAATTGAAGTATTTTAGGCATTTATATTGTTCAAAATAACAATAGTAACTGTATCTCAGTATACAACATCCAAAATATGCGAAAAGCTTTCAAAATTATATGAAAATCGATGACAATATAATTTCTTAAATTAATAAGCCTTTTTTATGAATCTTTCAATGGATAGGCCCTTTTTGTTAAGCCGTTGTGCTTGTCATCAGAAATGGTACACGGTAAGAAAAAATACTCAAAATTAAGTTTAAAAAAAACTCAACGTTGGGTTCTATCATTTGAGGTCCGCCGTTGAGTGAATCAGAAAAGCGGCGTTGGTTAAAATTTACTCAACTATTGAGTAATAATAAATGAACTCAAATATAAGTTTATTTTCATTGAGGTTGCTTTTATGCGCCTTTAACCATTTCATTTTCACAAGCGTTGATAGACGAGTGATCAACACACGGGCCGCGTAATCTCAACGTCCATGGTTCGGTTCCAGTCTGCTCCGTTTTATTATTTTTTTGTCAACTTGGTCAACGCCAGGATTACTCAAAATTGAGTTTTCTTCTTTAACTTAATTTTACCTAGCCCCACGGAAGCCACGTGATGAGTGAAAGGAACTCAATTTTGGGTACTTTTTTCTTACCGTGTAGGCTCTTTGCTAAGCCTTTTCGCAACGTCAAATAAATTCAAAACAAATCATCGGCCCTGCCTCAAGCAGTAGGGCCTAGCTTTGGTTTGAAATTTTTCAATCATCGGCCCTTCTATGTCACTATAGGCTTATCAATGAAATAAAATAAATGAATGGTTGGCCGTTTTAGCGTGCGGGCCTATTAATGAATCGAAATTTTTTTTCGAAAATCGAGTTATTTTTAATGATTTTTCTCGATTATGCGGAACTTTCCTACACGATTAGTAGCTATCAAGCAGTGCTAAAGAATGGTATAAAAACCCGATTTGTTTACGTTTTGGACATAGACCCATTTCAAATGTTACTCTAGAAGTGATACTCAGAATAAGAGCCGTGATTGCCGTGCAATCTCATTATACCTTTTGGCAAATTTCTATGACTGATTATTCATAAAATGTACAAGTCAACTAATAAGCAGACCCCTTGCAAAAAGTTAATGAAAATCATGTGTCAAATGAAATGTATATGCAGTCACACATACCTTTCATGCATTCTTATAGGACCTATGTGGTTTGTCTTATGGAATGTATAAGGCTGATGTTTTGGC